TCGCAATAACAATTTCAAATGTTTGGAACAAATTAAATAGACATTAGGTACACTATCAAAAAGGAAGAGCATAATGTCTTAAACCACCAAAATATCATCCGAAATATTAATGATATTTTCGAAATATTAAACATCCAGCGAATCATTGCATGAAGAAGTAGGTGCCGAAGCCCTCGGCTGCGCACTCATGTGGCTTTTTATACAGAAGTCAACGAGCGATAGAAGAATTAAAAAGATGTGTAGTAGGTAACCTTCTAGGAAGAACGCCCTCAAGAGGCATGAAAAAATCATAAGTCCGCCTCTGTTATCTGTCAGCGACGCGTATAAACCCCAAATGAATTAAAAAAAAAAAATAAAAAAAAACTTGTGATTTCATTGTCGTCTCCTGATATCACGTTATCAGCGACCCGGTCAATATTTGCAACGTATAGAAACCGCGCTTGCAGCCACCCTAGCTACGCCGTCAAGGATATTGCGGAATGACGTTCCCGACGTAGCAGGGATTCTAAGCGAATCACTCGAACCTTGTGCAGCTAACACCGTTAAATTGAATCGCTATAAGTGAGGAATCCAAATCAACTGCCATCACCAAAGTGATAGGTCATGTAGGGCTCGATATTGTTCCCCAAATGACCAAAATCCTTTGTTAAAGGGATCAGCGTATTTCTATGACCGGCCACCGCCCGATAGTGTCATAGCGAACTCCGCTTGATAAATGAAACTTTCAGCGAATGGCGTGTTAGCAATTGTGTCCGTTCTTTATTTTGTTGTTGTTATTGTTGTTTCGCGCTGTAAGGAAACGAGTTTGGCAAGTTGATTATCAAATTCGCCCACTAAGAAATAACGCTCCTTGGCTATTGCGTTAGTTTTCACATTTTAGTTGGTGTTTTGCTCACAAGATTTCGAAATGTACTAGCGTCATCGTGAAAGGGAATTAAATGACTAAGTATCCATTCTCTCGTCCGTATAAAATTCCCCTTTTAGAGCATCCTTTTTTTTTATTCAAGTGGTCTAGGTTACCACACATCAACACGATTCGGGAACATTACCACCATCATTCGCAAAAGCAAAAGCTACCACCGGCTTACCTACAGCAATTCCTTAATCACTGTACATGCAGCTATATTCTCGTCTTCGTACTTTTGACAAAATACCCGCATACGCGGGGTTTCGCAAATTTAAATGTATTGTTCAACCTGTTTTATGTTAGACGCACCTAAGAACCACAAATAAATATAAACTTTGAATGGCGAAAGTAAAATGTAACTTAGTGCCCATTTTTCCCCCCCCCTTTACATTACAATCAAGTTCTTTTTCCGTCTTTAGGATCCTGGGCCCAGCTTAACCCCTCGGTTCTATTTATCATACCAGTTTCATTAATTCTGCACTATTATAGATACGAGCTATCAGAAACTTCCGTAAGCAGTACACTAAAAACTTCATCGGAAGTTGTTGAGTGCTGTGCAGCGAACCCGTCAGACGGCGCCGAACGAATTCAGACAAACATATTCCTCCACCTCGGCAACCGGCTGCATTGCCTCACAAAAGGGGCGGCAGTTCACGATAAGGATATTTCCGCACGTAAATAAATAGGATCACCGTGGGGACGGTAAACATGAGCTCCCTTTACGTGGAATCAGCAAACGTTTTGTTTTTGATGTTGTTTCTTAGAGATGCAAATCGAAATGCCAGACTGATATTTTTTTTAACGAGCAATTATTTCGATTATAAATTACTTGTGTTAATGTTTAATTCAAATGATTGAGCCCGTCAAAACCAGTGGGGCTTGTACGTGGCGCGACAACAGCAAAGATATGTAATTTCGTTCAAGCGCCGTACTTGCGCCGAACAAAAGAAGGCACTTAAAATACCAGATCTATCTAGTTTAAAAGACACGAAAAAAGAACTATTCCTCGTGAATACTGCGAAGTAGTTACAAAACATTTCGCGATTTAGCAATATGCTATTCAATAATATGTGATCGCCATAACACAACGTGAAATTGCATCTGTCCGTTGAAACCAATGGTACAAAATGAAATATATACAAACGTTCCCTCAATTACGCAGACAATAAAAAACACTTCCCAAAAGTAGTTCTTGCAACCGTAATAAGCACACTCATTTCAGTTCTAATATGACTCGTTTTAGATAAAGTTTCTAATACCTACTGGTTTAAATAAAAGAAGGAACACTCTCGGCGCTGTAGTCACTCAACTTTACAGTACAGCGCACACAAGAATGACTGATGATGCAGCAACCCTTCATGGGACCCATTCCCACGGACAATAGATATACCTTACATGCCGCGTTAGACCCTGTAGACATAAACAACTGAATAGGTGCCAAACACCAAAGATTGTCGTGCATTTGACGGCTCACGCATGCACGGCAAGAGAGTTCAATTGAGTTGAGTCGCTGCTTCTCATTACTTGAGTTTTCCTTTATTTTAATTTATACGTATAGATAATAGAGCACATTGACGCATTAACAGCAAGCCTTTCTGTCAGAAGCGCTCGGTTTACCTCTTCGTCCTTCTATGTCCGAAGCGAATTTTAAAATTATCTTATAAGTAAAAAAAGGAAAACAATCTGCGGAGAGCACGTTATGAATCACAACTTATGGTAGGTTCCTTTTTCTTTTTTTAATACCCTTCGTCTTTACACTTTGTACGGAAGTGACTTATTTACGCTCACCGCGTATAATACGTTTAGAGATCAAGAACGAACAAAATACCTAAAATTTGCCCTTGTCCTTTTCATTCGTCGTTCTTGGGGAATTCACGGTTGAAAAGCACAAATCAATAGTACGTTAAGGAAAACAAAACAAAATTTTATTTCGTGGATACTTTTTTTTTTTTTTTTTTTGCCAAGCGTCACTGTATTGTTATAGGTGTTCCTAAGGAGAGATAGCAAAAAAATTCAATATATTTGTTAGATAGCTATTTTTGATCGAATGGTAAAAGTAATGTTTACCGAATGTAAATATAGCCAGGGAGCAATTTATATACCCCATGGCTGTTACATTCTCACGCGAAATACGTTTTCTGTCGCAGGATTCTCTAGCTATCTGATGTAGTCGACAGCAAAGAACGAGAATGCCTAAAAAGTAGTCCGCAAGCTATCTGTTCTGTACTAAAAACAGCAAAACCAGACTTGTTGTTTTCGGCAATAATGTCTAATTCATTAAAGGGGAAGTTCCAAAGAAACCCGATACGATCAAAGTCTCAAACTAGTTTTCTACCACAGCAAAAGCTCAAGCTTGGTGCGTAAAGAATCTTGGACTTTGAATCCAAGACAAATCACCCATGTTCCAAAAAAAAAAATCTTTCACCGTGGTTCCTACCGAAACGTAGATGCGGAGCTCATTATAATATAAGAGTAAATGATGTTCAGATCAATCTTCTTTATTGTATGCGAAATACGGCATTCTTGCAGTGAGCCTCTCATACGTGCATTTTAGAAGCCATTTCGTTCCTGCAATGTCTTGCCACTCAACGACCGAAGTGGATTCGAGGGAAGGGCCACTAGCCGACCTTCGAGCATCGAAAACAAACGCAGCTTCGGACATTGTCATTTAAGAAATCTAGGACTAGCCGTTAAAAGTGCTCCGCCTTGAACTACGTTTCCCGGTGGGAGTAAACCGCAATGTCCCTCGAAGTTTCAGCCATTCAGATTTTAAAGCGCATGTCCGAGAGAACAAAAGCCACAATAATGCCATCGTGTAAATCAGCTGCACAATCAAAAGCGCGGTGGCACGCTTTCCGAGCCTGTCGGACTTGTCACGTTTCCAGAATACAGCATAGTGGTGGAACGTCGACGCGATGTTTGAGTTTCCTAATGCTATGACGCTTTTATTATACGTCGTTCATTAACCTCCCCTCGAGTGCCAAGTTGTTCGTACTCGAACAGCTTATCATTTTATTACTGCAACCATATGCATAAAGAAAAAAAAGAAACGCAATACTTTTGGTGTGTTTTGCAGCAACTTGCCGTGACTGCCAATCATTTGCGTCCTGATAAGCTGTGTTCTAAGGCTAAAGCGTTGAGTCCTGCACTAGCGCCTCATCGAAAAAGAACGTGCTCACTTGTTTGTTTGTTAAATTATTTTTCTTCCAAACTTTGAAGGAAAAAATTGCTACCCTGAGTACACAAGAAATACTACCCTAATTAGGATTCCTATCCGTAAAGTTGACAGACTGTGAAGAATAATTGAGCACCAAATCATTCAGGAAAAAAAAAAACAAAAAAAAAAACAATGTCCATAAAGCACGTTATCTAGCCCGTATTGGTCAGAAACGTGGGAACTGTCAGGTGCTTGTAAGTACCTCTCGTGAAAAGCTGTTGGTGTGCTGCATAACAATCAGAAAGAACAAAAGAAAACACGTGCATTGATTTTCAAATTGCTAATAAAAAAGTTTGCTTAACAACAACGAAATAAAAATGTATGCTTTTATGGAATTGAATGTTCTATAACACCAACAACCGCCCTGCAGATGCGACAAAAAGTATTACGACAGCTGGATAATATCATTCAACCAAACCACGGCTTGAGTTTGTAAAAAATGCAATTTCACGTGCCTACAAAAAGGCGGGAAAAAACTACTCCGGTTTAGTTAACAAATAATATCACCTACGAAGGCGTAATTTTTAAAATCAATCTTCGTGGGCCTCTTTCTTTGCAGTTTTGTATTACCTAGAAGACGGACTATTTTATTTAATATTTTTACTAGTACTAATAAATAAATCACATTAGTGCTCTCGTTTTAATCTGACATCAAAGAGCCCATATCAACACCGAACCCATTTAACATCATGTTGTTCGAGCTCTCGGTAGATCACCGAGTTCTCTAGAGCCAGTTGTAAACCATATCTGTCAATTAGTTATTACGCCAACATTAATATTAAATATATGAAACAATATTTAATTTTCCTATATTCGATATACGGACATACATTACGCTGCCTAACCAAACAAATAACAAGTTTACGAGAGCCTCACCCAAACTCCAACGGCAATCACCGCCACGAAGTAGGCCACCACCACCACAATGTCCCATGCTTCAAGGTTGACCGTGGTGAAAACAGCACCACTTTTGGCCGCCGGCTCCGTCATGACACTTGCTGGTCACCACTTCACACACCTCACCAGGCACACTCGCCGCTTCTTCCGTTCACAACCACCGCTCCAAGTATTCTTTCCTCACGAAACGCGAACAGGTGCACGTGCCCGAATTCAAACACCAGCCGCGACTTCGAATGACCGTTTGCGGCAGCACTAAAACACACACAGGCCGCCACTGACTAGGAGCCTTTTGAACTGAAGGTCAACAGGTATATCGGACGCGCACTGGAGAGAAGGGAACCGCGGTGGTGACTGGCGGTAGGACGAAAGCGACGGGACCTCAGAGCGTTAGTCGGTGCGCTCGGCAATTGCCAGGTTCTGAGTTATCAGGAGCACGAGTGCGGGCTGCTATATAGGAAAAAAAGAAAGGCGAATGCGTATAGGGTAGGGGAGGATAACGCAGGAGAAGGAGCAGAGGTGTGCGGAAGCGGTGCAGTCACTCTCCTTCCTGCTGCCCCTCTCCATTGATGACGGCAGTGTAGGGAGAACACGTCAAGTGGCGTTCCTCGCCAATCGTCTCGCGCCTTCTCTCCGTAAGCAATCGTTTCCGAAGAAAGGGGTAGCACTCCATGCGATGCTCGTGGAGCGGCTCAGCCTCCTCCATGCCGGGCAATTTGCTGGCACTGACGGCAGCCGTGGTGCATCACCGTGTGATAAACACGGAAAACGATTCTATCCAGCATTTCCGGTGGTACGTAGGTGATACACCTGACAAAATCATCGTGTATACGCAGAATGGGTTCATTTGTCGGTCAGTCTCGGTGCTCTTATTTTTGTGTCCGCAACGTTTACTACGGCTTATTACGGGAACGGAATTGGTTGTCGCTATAGTCGCAGGTTCGCTTACGCCAGCCGATGAGAGTGAGGCGCCACCCGCGAGGAAGTCCATCTGTGGCACTGACATTTTGTTTAGTGTTCTCTCTTGTTCGCAACGCTTTTGCGTCTTGATTTCTCGTCTACAGTTTTCACCTGATTACCCTCGCGAAAAACGTATTCTAGGTTAACAGATGTACATGCTACCTGCGGTTCGTCGTCCGGGAGCACGGAGCTTCCGTCCAACGTTGCATATGGGTGGAAACGGCTCACGATCTAGACCAATGAAAAGTGGCTCTGAATTATTTCGAACGCGTCTACTTTCGGCAATCATTGGTAAAACCTCGCTAACAATTTTCTTGGGGACAGGGAAGGGCAACCGGTCCGAGGTTCGCCGCAACCCGTATCATGTACACATGTAGTGTTCCGAGTGTTGGGATTTATCAAAACAAGATATGATAAACACTCGCGAACAATTAATTCGCCAGCTTTAAAAATGACTATTTGTTTAATGTTTCAATTTTGGGAAGTCTAACTTTTTAAGAGGTTGCTTAGGTTTTTCTTCTTCCAGGGGAATTCTAGTGGCCTTCCCAGTCTCTAACTGTGACGTGCGAGTTGGTATTTTTTCGATTATCTTACTTTATATATTAGTAATTATTCATAATAAGATGCTTGTGTCTGGCATATCCCTGCGTTGCTAAGCCTTTTCAATGACTATGCGGAGACCAAGTGGTCTGCTTCTTGCGCAGGGGTGGCAGTGGCGTCACAGCGACCCCTAGCTCTGGTTGGCTTTGATTGAAGGAATATCGGTAGAGGCTAGATGCATTCTGGTCTACTCACTATTTTTTGTTTTCGATCATCCGATGAAAACTTGGCCTTCTGACATTATCACAACCCCTGAGCAAGAAACAGACGAACTTGCGCACCGCATAGAAAAACAACAAAATGCGCTTTTTGCCTGAAATTGAAACAACAAATTGCGTACATTTTGAAAAATAAAAAGACTCTTTGAACAGCAAACAAAGCTATTCCAAAACCCTTTGAAATAAGGAAACCCTGGACCACGATAGGTCACATAAGTAATAAATGAAAAGTAAAAACATGCGCACGCGGGAGTCGGTTCCCTACGAGCACGTTCTACTCGTACATCATTTCCCCTGAATCAACGAAAAACTGTTAACCCGTGCAGACTGTCAGTCAGGCTTAAGACGCAAATATTACAGTTCTAGAAATCCTACGCACACACACGCACGCACACACGAACACATACGCACGCAAGAAAGGAAATTTCGTGATCTCACGGAGATACGGACGAGGTCGCGCGTGAATCTTCTCCTTGCGCACCTCCACGGCAAGGATGCGCATACGTGCGTGGATTCGATGGCGATTCCGGTTTGGAGGAAGGGACGCACCGCGGTGCCGTAGAGCGCCGTTTGATTTCAACGACGGCAGGAAAGAGGTGGCGTCTGAGAGATAGTTCAGTTGGTTGCACGCGTGGGAGCGGCTAAGCAAAGTTGTTTTAGACGCAAGTAGACGCTCCACGCGACGACATCGTGACGTGCACGCGACCGGTTATATATTTCTTTTTTTTTTATGTTTTACGAAAAGAAATTGCAAAGAAAGGAAATTAGAAAAAGAAAATATTGCGGAAAAAAGCGTCGGGGCGTCTCTAATCGAACACCGGTGTGTCGCACATCCCTCAGGAAGAGCGATGAAAGGAGCGGCGGAAGTGACGGTCGGGACGTTTCCGGATCGACGTCATTCCTGTAACGCTTGCAGTTAAGCGTATAAACGCTTTCAGGCAGCTGTGCATGGGCGCCGCCATGACCGACCTTCAGTTTTTGTTTCGTCTTATTCCGTCCGCTCCCCTTTATTATTGTCACATCAGGACAGGTTATTGCCATTTTAGGTGTTACCATGTCCTTTTTCCCAGCATAGGCCCTTGTGGAGACTCGGCAATACCCGCTTCAGTGGCCCGGCATCTCGGAAAGAAAAGAGAAGGTCGGCAATGGCGGCTCAATATGGCGCGCGCTGAAAGCGTCTTTAGGTCTGAGGTTTTGTTTTTCACGGGGACTAACTATAAATATATAGAACCAAAGGCAAATATTTAAAATAGTTATAGTCTTCTGCACGGTAATGGTATCACAAAACAGTATCCGCGAAGCAGATCGGATACACCGCAGGGATGTTCTCAACTTCCCAAATGAGTGAGGTACGTGCGTTGGTAAAATTCACGTTATTAACGGAGGGGGGGGGGGGGGGGGGGGGGGGGGAGTCAAGCTTTCCGTTGTGGGGCAAGCTGACGTCCCTCCAGTTTCCGCACGTTTAACAGGTTCCTTGCACTATGCCCAATGATATGCACATGCACAAATTTCACACGCTGAAGGTCATGTATTCATTTGTAGGATAGGACATACACAGCAATTACATTACTACGAAGCAAGAATTCAAATAAATATTTTCAATCCATTTGGCTTGCAATCAATTTATGAAAAATTTGCACATATCCAGGGATGGGCAAAATACATGCAAATATGTATCGAAATACAAATACAAAATACTTCGTCAAAAATGTATTTAATTACAAATCTAATTACATTTCCAAAAAAGCATTTAAGTACAAGATACAAATACAACCTAATGTATTTGGTCTCCTCCAAATACTTTTCCAATTACATTCCTCAAAATGTGCGTCAGCGACTTCAGGGCACCTGCAACGGGTTTCTGGGTATCTCATTTTAATTTTGCATCGCACACTCGGGAGCTAGTGTGCGAGGCTCTAGTAACGTAATAGAAATATAATCACAAAAAATGTAATCAGCTTGGACGTAATAGGTGAAAAAAAGTATAGAGCTACAAGCAGCTTTTTTTATCGATTACATTTTGGTATAGACAAACAAAGAACCGAGACGACCAAGACGCGGAGCACTAGCTAGAGAATTTTTTATTGTTGCAACTCGCACCAGTTACGAAAATCTGAACGACCCACGCATTTAGAATGTTCCAGGCAAAATTATGGATGGAAATCAGGCTGGAAAGCATCACAAATTGTCACAGGCACTCATTTAGCCAGTCAGCCTGTGAACGTCGATTTCGTCACTATTCTTGCCCTGGACTAGCACCGTAATCACAAAGTCACTAAACGCTTGTGCTTGATTGAGAGACGCTGCATTCGGTGCAGAACGTAGTTTTCTTCCTGCTCTGGACAGTGCCTTTAAATTAAAGCTGGAGAAGAAAAAGAAAAAAGCCCCATGGCCAAATAAAGGATGGAGACTATATCTGACAACCACATGCATAAAAACAAGATGTATTTTCGCCCAGAAATTGTATTTCATTACAATTGTATTTGAAATACTCACGTTTTAGTATTTAAATACACACGTCAAATACATTACCCAATTTTTAATTAAATAAAAATGAAAAATACACAAAGTATTTGAAATACGTATTTCAAATACTTGTATTTGAAATACTGCCCATCCCTGCACATATCCCTGTGCAATTTACACGTTAATTTTAAAAAATTCCGCAAAAATAAAATAATATTTAAGTTGTACAAGTAGTTAAATCGATAAGTTAGATTTTATTTATTTTAAAACTTTTCGAATTGTCATAGTTGCGCTTTTCGCCAGGTTTTTCACCAGCGAAACTCCGAATGAGGTCGCATCCACTAACGGGGTTTTCGGGCGTCGTGCCTCACCGAACTCCAGAGGGGCCAAGAGTGAATGGAGCCGGGCATAAAACCCAGTCCGTTTCTCCCCGCACAGCAACCTCGGAGCGGCGGCATACTCAGGGGGTGTTTCCCGGACGGTTGGGAAGTCCCGCGAATTATTTGCATTTAGGTCACGGGGTCGGTGCAACGCGGAAGACAAACTTCTGTGCAAAACGGTCGGCTTTCGCTTCTCACGTCTGAGCTTTGCAGTCGTTTAAAGGTCATAGTGTGCTGCGGGATGATATTCATCGTCTTTGTGTGCGCGCGCGCGTATGTGTGTGTATGTGTGCGTGCGTGCGTGCGTGCGCGCGCGCGCGCGCGTGTGTGTGTGTGTGTGTGTGTGTTTGTGTGTGTTTCTATGTTTCTGTGTGTGTGTGTGTGTGTGTGAGTGAGTGTGTGTGTGTGTGTGCGCGCGCGCGCTTTGCGTTTATTAGAATTTGAGAGAGCGACACATCTGCATGACAAGGTATACTGGTC